AGAGTAAAAATTGCAGAGCAGCCATCAGAAATGGGGCCAGAGTCAGACCCCCCACTCCTGTCTTCTTTGTTCTCTTCTTGGAGAAGATGCTTCATTGAGCTCCTGCAAGAGCCCAGCCATCTCCATTTATGAATTAAGTGTGGTGTTGTGTGGGGTGGATTTTTTTTTTTTTTTGGTTTATGTTTTCTTTCATGTTTATTAATTTGATAGGTATATAAAGTTGTCCATTTCTTTACTCATTCAAAAAAAAAAAAAACTAATGATGTACTATATGTTGGCTAACTGAACATAATAAAAAAAGATGCAAAAGCTGATAATTTTAAAAATCTGAAACAACTGTATATGTGGATGCATACATGTATGTATGTGTGTACAAACATATATTTTATATTTATTACAATTACATATTTTACAAGGAGAGATAAGCACTTTAAAACTGTATTTATAATGCATAGTGGAAAATTTCCTACAAATTTCAAGACGTGGGGTTAAAGAAGGAGATGGGCTAAGGGCAAAATATGTAGGTAGATTATGTTACGTGGTCATTGCCATCTTCTTGTTTTAAGTTGGAAGGTGTTACTATTTTGGGTTTTTCTTCATAAAATGTTTTGGGGTGAGTTTTTTGATATTCTTAATTGGCTGTTAGAAAGTGAATTTCCTATAGCATTATATTAATGGATATTTATATTTATATAAAATTGAGATATATAGCTATATACAGATAGACACAGACAGATGAATTTTGAGTTTGAATTCCTGGGTCGTAAGATGAATTTCAGGTAAAACCATAAGATTCAGAATTTACATGCATTGTTCTTTGCTAATAAAGTGAAATTCCATGATTCTAAATAACTGCATAATCCTTCCACAGGGAAATTAAATAATTTTTAACAAGTATTTACTCAATACTAGAAATATCAGCTTAGAAAATAATTTTGATTTATACATTCTAATTATTTTTATAATAGTATCTACTAGATATGTTGCATATTACATATGAAGATTTTGAGGCTTAGATTAAAAAGAAAAACCTATCATTTCATCTTTCTGAGTATGAGGGATTGTGTCTGAGATGTGTTTCAAGTCTGACCACAGTAAATGATGCAACACAACAGTTACAGTCTAAACAATTTCCAGGAAGCTTGATTTTACCCTCAGCTGAGCCCCCACACCCACCTATATGCAGAGTAAAAAGAGCCTCTATGCGTCACCTTCCCTTACTGTGGTCATCTTATGAATGTGAGCTGGGCCCCATTTCACGACATCCTGTGTACTTGTCAACTCTGTTCAGCAGAAGCAGCGCCATGTCACCTATGGTCATCAGCCTCACAAGTCTGGGTGAGTCCCAGAAGGGGATGAAGGGAGGGGATACATGGTGGAAATATTGGCCTGGAAGGTTGGGTCTCCCCACAGCAGAACATTCCCATGGGGGTAAAGCAGACCTTGATGGTGAAGCTCAGGCCAGATGCGGGAAGGAGTGGGGGAGGCAAGTCTTCTATGAAGATGGACCATCCATCATGAGTCTTTCTTTCCAGTGTTCTTCTTCATCCAGAGGATCTGGGCACAAGTGGGTGAGTCCTTTCCCCAAACCCTGGGCTGCATCTACTCAGAATAAGAGAATTCCTATAACGAGAAGGCAGATGGCACAGGAGGTTGGGTGATGGGTTGACTGTGGGAGGCCTTGTGGGTGAGTCTCTTGTGAACTAGAAAGTGGGGGCCCAGGGAAACCCTAGCCCCAATTCTGGTCCAGAGACCCTCCTTAGACCTCCTTCCCCTTGGCTGAGACAGGCTCTAAAGCCATCTGGAGGACACTGCTGCTCAGAGCTAGGTGTCTGGGAGGAACTGGTGCTGTCTGTAGATCAGGGGATGCAAGCAGTGTCAGGAACAACAGACTGTCTGAGGTCGGGACAACCACTCAAGTTCCCCAGCACACCCATGAGGGTAGGAGCCCCAGGATGCTGCCACTGATGTTCTACAGCAGAGGTGGGCGATCCTCATGCCAGGACCCCTGGAATTCCAGCACATTCTGACGCAGCTCTGTCATGTAACGTGCTTCATGTGTTTGCTGATGTTATGGCATACACATAAGTCATTACTCTCCTGTTCAGTGTCTACTTTGTCTTCTTTTACATAACAACTTACATTATCAACACCTAGTAAGAGCCCACTGTTCAGTACTCACTCAGAGCTCTCAGCCGACATGTTTGTTGTAGGAGATGCCATGTCTGTGTGGTGTGGGGAGTCTTTGTGTGGTGTGGGCACCCCGGGTTTGGAAAGGAGGCTTAGAGACCTGGAAAGAAGGGGAGGCTCTGAGCCAGGGGAGGGGAGACCAATGCTGTGCCTCCTCCTCTCCCAGGTGGTCAGGACAACCCCTCCCTATCTGCCTGGCCAAGCCCCATGGTTCCTCAAGGACAGCATGTGACTCTTCGGTGTCACTCCCATCACAAGTTTGACACATTCAGACTGTACAAGAACAACGGCATCTTCGTCTCCAAGCTCCGCAGCACAGTATTGCAGAACAGCTTCCTCATTGGCCCTGTAACCCCAGCACATGCGGGGACTTACAGATGTTGTGGATCCTATCTTGGCTCCTCCTCTGTGTGGTCAGCACCCAGTGACCCCCTGGTGATTGTGGTCACAGGTCAGAGAACACTTGTCTAGAGGGGCTATTCACTGTCCCAATCTTCTTAAAGTCAGAGTTTCCTGGTGGGAGTGTCAGTCCGGTCCAATTAGAACAATAGGAGCTGCTCCAAGTATTTTACATAAAAGGGCATTTCATGCAGGTGGGCAGAATAACGACCCCCAATGATGTCTATATCATAATACTCCAAGTCTATGAATAGTCCCAGGACAATTAAGGTTGAATGTGGAATTAAGGTTATTAAGCAGGTGACCCTGACATGGGGAGATTATCCTGGATTATCCAGGTGGGTTTACTGTAATTACAAGGGTAGAAGGAAGCAGGAGAATGAGCTTCAGAGTCATGCAGCATGAGAAAGACTCCACCAGCCACGGCTAGTTCTGATGATGGAGGAAGGAGGCACAAGACAAACAATACAGGCGGCCCCCAGGAGTGGGAAAAGGCACAGGCATGAATTCTCCCCTTGAGGCTCCGGAAGGAATGCAGTCCTGTCAACCCCTTCCTTGGCCCTGGCCCGTAAGACCCACGTTGGACTTCTGACATCCAGAACTGTAAAGTGACAAATTTGTGTTCTTTCAGCCGTCATGTTAGGAACAATTTATCACAACAGCTAGGTAATCAATACAGACACCCAGGTGAAGAACAAGTTAGGAAGTGAAACAGAGGAAGCGAGACTGTACCCAGCAATAGGTAAGAGCGGGATGTTGACGCCACCACTAGACTGCAGTGACAGGGAGGGGGTGGTGTTCCTGGAGCCACCTCAGCGGTGTCCTGTGGAAGCTGGGACCATGGAGAAGGCACAGACACAGCAGATGTGCCCCTCCCCACAAGTCACAGGCTGGGTGGACACTGGAAGTTACTGTGGTACCTGCCTTACTGCTTAATTCCTACCTCCTACCAGGGATTCCAATTCGTCACACAGGGCAGGAATTGGTCAATAAGAGAACCTGGAAACACAGCCCGCAGTGCCAACTCTCCCACCCCCACCAGAGAAAGCAGAAAAGGACTCTGTGGGAGACAGTTGAAGCACTGACGGTGCCAAGGATGAGTGCAGTGGGAATGGAGTCTGGCGCTGATGCTAGACACAGAGACACACAGCAAAGGAGGGGCAGAGACAGATGGGGACATTCAGACAGAAAAGGACACAGAAGAAGGAGACAGACAGACACAGGGGCACCCTCACTCATTTCAGATGACAGGGAATCGGGCGAGACAGGGTGGCTCCTTCTAAATTTACAACATCCATGTTCTTAGGAATCTACAGAAAACCTTCTCTGTTAGCCCAGCCGGGTCCCCTGGTGAAATCAGGAAGGAACGTGACCTTGCATTGTTGCTCTGAGATCGTGTTTGAAAGCTTCATTCTTCACAGAGAGGGGGTATCCAAGGACACCTTGTACCTTGCTGGTCAGCGCCATCATGGGGGCTCCCATGCTAACTTCTCCATGGGTCCTGTGACAGCTGCCCATGCGGGGACCTACAGGTGCTTCGGCTCTCTCAATCGCTCCTCCCATGAGTGGTCTGCCCCCAGTGGGCCCCTGGACATCATGATCACAGGTGAGACTGTCCAGACATGCCCCCATCCTCTTTGGGATGCAGACAGGATGTTCTAAGACCTGGAAGCCCCAGGTGGTGAAGAAGGAGACGAATGTGGGTTTTTATGAAGAGAGACAGCCTTGGTGAGAGCTACACCAAGAGAGACAATGACAGAAGAGCAACAGTAGAAACCATTTGTTATAAAGGACAGATGGGGGCAGAAACAGGGAGTCAGTAATGGAGATAAAGAGCAAAGGGACAGATAGAGACGGGTACACCCACATCAGAGACAGGGTGCTCTTCTACCCTGAGTTTGTTCAGAGACCTGGGACAGTTTCGAACATGGTTTCCAATAAATCTCCACACCCTCTTCTCTACCAGGAGAATCCAAAGACACACCACATATGTGACCAGGTTTCAGGGCCAGGCTGGCCTGTCTCAGACTGATGGCCCATGGGCCCTGGTCCTCACTCCATGTGGCACCCACAGATGCTGCGTTCACTCTGACATGACTTCATCCCATATAGCTGAGCCACAATATGCCCCAGGAAACCATGGTCCCAGGTGGAGGAGCCAGATACCAGCTCCTATATGTGGCGTGTTTCATGGGTTCCCAAAGCTGTTTCTCAGGCCCATGTTGAAGGTCACCCCAGATCTTACAGGATTACTGAGGTCAAAGCCTACAGAGAGATGCAATCAGAGAGAAAGCAGAGTTGATGTATTCAATGTACATAGAAAGTTTCTATGTGAATAGGCACAGAAATGCATGTGTGCACATGAACACACACACACAGAATGGAGGGATGACAAAGACAGATGGATAGACAGACAGACACTGGCTCAGAAACACAAAAACGAAAGAAAGAAAAAAGGATAGAGAAATAGAGAGAAAGACGGAGAGGGCAAATAAAAGCCTTAAAAGACTGAGATATGAGTGTGGGGCACAAAGAGAAAGATGATGATGTGGGGGTGGGTGACAGAGATCCCAAAAGAGGTCTGGGGACAGAGAAGCAGAGCAAGTCACAGAAACCAAGGTGATGGAGCTAGATGCTAGATAGGGAGATAGAGAGAGATAGATGATAGATAGATGATAGATGATAGATAGATAGATGATAGATAGATGATAGATAATAGATGATAGATAGATAATAGATGATAGATAGATGATGATGATAGATAGATAGATAGATGATAGATAGATAATGCAGAACGATAGTGACAAGGCAGAATGAGAGACTCAGAATGAAAGAAAAGGCAGATCAAACCAACAGATCCCAGGAGAGGCAGAGAGAGTAAGGCAGTGCAAAAGTAAAAAAGAACAGGAGGGAGGCAAGGACAGGAAGCAATAGGAGAGGTGGACAGGAGGGGACACAGTGGACCTTGGGCTCTGGGAACAGGGAGAGAGAATTCTTAGTCCAGGTGTGAAGGACACAGTGAGCAAGGAAGAGCCTCTCTGACTGAACTGCCTCCACTTCCTCCAGGTCTACACCAGAAACCTTCTCTCTGGGCCCAGCCAGGCACCGTGGTGAGGTCAGGAGAGAACGTGACCTTGTCCTGCTGCTCGGAGATTTCCTTTGATGTGTACCATCTATCCAGGGATGGGCAGCCCCATGAGCTCTGGCTCGCTAAGGGGCAGAGGCATGGCGGTGCACTTCACTCTGGGCCCTGCACACCCAGCCCTGGGTGGGACCTACAGATGCTATGGCTCTCTCAACCCCTCTCTCTGTGAGTGGTCAGGCCCGAGTGACCCACTGTACCTTTCTGTCACAGGTAAGGAAGCCCAGAACGTGCTCTGCGTCCAGTGATTCAGGATAGATTTGGAGGCCATATGTGAGGGGCATCCTGCTGGTACTGGGGGGATGCTTAGGAGTTCTGGGGAGACAGAAACATAGATAAAGAAAACAAGGAGGGAGAGACTGAGGACTCACTTCCAGCATCCTCCTGCATGGATTGTGTGGAAACCCAAACTGGGCATCTGTGTCCCCAGGCAGATGGAAAGGGGTCAGGGCAGACCCAGGAGCAGGAGAGAAGGGGCTCAGTTTGGGGAGATCAGAGGTTGCATTGGCCCGTCACCATTACCCGCTTCCTAGCAGCCCCTCCTCACCTCACGCCTACAGAGTGGTCTCCCAGGTGGTACAGGTGTCTTTACGGCAGGATTGAGAAGCCTCCTCTTAAGTAGAGGCCCCTTTCATCATCAACCTCTCCCATCTCCTCTCTGCAGCTTGAAGTCTCAGGGAGTCAAGGCCCCAGAGATTCAGAGAGGTCCCAGGAGCTCAGTGTTAGATGACAAGGAGCTTCAGTGGGTAGAAGACAGTCAGTTCCACTTCCTCCCCTTCTCCTGGCTTGTTTTTTAGGAAACTCTTCAAATAGTTGCCTCCTATCCACAAAACCAACCCCCAAAACTGGTGAGTAAAGGATCCCTTTTACCCCTGTTTGTGGAAACCTGACAGAGAGAAGCCTTGGGTTTGAGGGTTGGCTCAGCCACCTTCCAGCTCTGTGATCTTGGGCTTGTAACCTTCCCTCTCTGATCCCCAGACTCTACAACAGCAGAAGGGTTTGGGTCAGCATGGGGCTGGTGAAGACTCTTAACTTCTAATTTTCTGCAGCAGAGACCTCCTCCAAGAGAGGAGGGTGAGAATAAACCTGATCTCCTGGCCAGGAATAATGCTGTGCTTACTCTGTCCCCATTCCTAAGTGGAGATAAGATTCGTGGGGACTTGGGGGTGGGGGTGGGGTGGGGGGAGGAAGGGAGAAGCTGATGAGGGACAGGCAGTGCTTAGAGAAGTTCCATTTACCAATAAATGGGCTCTTGTCTGTCAGGATGCAACCCTGATGTGCTCAGTAGAGTGGGAGAGAACTCAGAACGCAGTCTGTCCCCCATATACATGATTCCTTCATTTATTCATTCAAGCACTGATCCAGTGCATATATACATCCATGTGCTGGATATGCCATATGTATTCGTTTCTTACTGCTGCTATAACAAATTTCCACAAGCTCAGTGCATTAAAACACAGTTTTTTAAATGATCTTACAGTTCTGTAGGTCATAGATCTGAAATGGGTCTCGTGGGGCTGGAACCAAGATGGCAGCAGGCTGGGTGCCTGCCGTGATTTGCTTCTATTGGATTCACATCTTCCTACAGGTAACCCCAGACACCTGCATGTTCTGGCTGGGCCCTTAGTGGCCATCATCTTCCTCGCTGTTCTTCTTTTCTTCCTCACTCGTCAGTGGTGCCGTGCCAAAGAGAGTGAGTCTCGGGAAGAAGAGGCCAGTGCCTGTCTGGGAGGAGTGGGGGAGCCGGGGAGCCTCCGTCTGCAGGCTGACTCCTGGTTCAAAGCAGGAGCCACAGAGGTAGGGCTTTCTAGAGAGAACCCCCGTGCCCCCATCCTCATCAATGGAATGGAAAAGGGAGACATTAATGGGATGTGTCTCTGAACTTCAGAGAGGTAGAATTTCTGACTCTACTTTTTGGCAGTAATTCCAGGCATTGGCTGCATCTCTCTGTGCTCTGGTATTTGTATCTATAAAATGAGAACCTTTGGAGTGTTTTTGATGACTTCTATTCCCTACAGATGCTGCTATAATGAACAGAGAGCCTGAGGTGGACAGAATGGTGAGCAGGGAGGTAGGTTGTCCTCAGCTCACTCTCTTCAGTGCCATCTCATCTCCTCCTAGTCCCCACAAGTGTGTGCACACCCTCCTCACCATTTCCCATCATGCAGGACCCTCAAGCAGAAGACCCACAGGAGGTGATATACACACAGTTGGATCATTGCATTTTTATGCAGGAAAAAAACACTCCCACTTCCCGGAGGCCCGAGGAACCTTTGCATGATGACGGTGTGTACATGGAATTCGCAACATGCTGAGACCAATCAAGGCATGAATTCTATGCCCCGAGCACACACAGGAAGACCCTGAGGAGGCTCTCCACGGATGCCATAGCTCTTTCTGAAACCCCTCCTAACAACAGCTGGAATCTGAAGACAGAAGTCTTCATCTTCCTCTCACCCTAAGATGAGATAAATATCTCAGGACCCCCTAGAAAGCCCCCCATCCATTCTAGGATGCTATTATGATGATACAGACATTTCCAATATTGTCCACAAAATCACCTCTTCTTTTCAAGGGTAAGTTCTGACTTGTGTTGCTATGTTACTATAAACAAATAAATAAATCTATCATCTATCATCAATCATCTTTCTTCCCAGCTATTGTTGAATTTCATCTACATGGAATCATATAGTATGTATTTTTGTGACTGACTCCTTTCATTCAACATTGTATGTTTGAAATCCTATCTTTCCATGTAAGAGAAGTGTTTTCCCTCCTGTGTAGGAATCCACTGTGTGACTATGTCACAATTACGTATCTAGTTGTGTTGAGTCTCCCAAATTCTGATGTCTTAATTTCTTGCATTCTTTCATCCTTCTAGAATCATCCAGATAGATCTACCCATTCCTACTGGAATCTGGGAAGCCTGGCAGGTCCAGACATCCTCAAGTGAGAGACACCTGGAAGTTCTGGTTGGTTGCCAGAGAGCACCTGGCTGGTGTCCCCAGCATGGGACTGACTCTCTCCCACCACCTTTGCAGCTACCACTTCAGGGCACATTAGGGGGCCCCAGGCACACCATGTCTCAGCTCAGTACAGATGATTGCCCTCAAGGCTCCATCAAGGAGATCCCATAGGAGCAGGTGGATCTATCTGAATGATTCTGGAAAAACAAAACAGTATAAGAAATTAAGACATCTGAGTTTGGGAGACTCATCAGAACTATAGGTCTAGCAATCTTTTGGATGCAAAATTAGCATCAAAGTTAGTGAACATCATTGTTAGTGAACAACAGTGAAAATGATAGGTGTCTGTGTGGCAATGACAGGAATTCACACCTTTGACCATCTGTTTAACAAAATGTGTTTTACAAATGTTTCCTTGATGAGTCCTTATGTAAAATTTATCAGAGCTCATCGTTATCTCCACTTTGCAAAGTAGGGAAATTCAAAGAGATTGTCTTGTCAAAGGCCACACAACATGGCATGGTTATTGACCATCATGGGGTCCCAAAGAGAAGACCCTTGAGCCCATCCACTATCTGTTGAATCACCCCCTGTAAACAAATGTCACACCTTGGGCTTAGGGGATTGTTCCAGATTTGGACTTTAAGACACACTTGGGTTTTGGAACCAGGTGAGGCCTTGGGCTTGGCTCAAAAAATTTCCAAGAAGTCAGATATTTTTGTTCAGCACACATTGTGGGAAAACCAGAGCTATGATTAAGAAAGGAAGTTTTCAGTTTCTTCTCTTGTCATCAGTTTGTAGAGAGACCTGAACAGTGATGACAGGGACTGACAAACTGCACCCAGTGCATGGATCAGTTCTGTGGGGCTCCCGGTTTCTGCACAACAGAGGTATACAATAACCAGGGAAGGTAAACAAGCATATTAGATCTTACTGAGATCTGCAAAAGGAAGCATGGTGGAGTTACCTGGAATTCCCCAGACATCAGGGCATGGACCCATAACTATCACATGGACAAATGAGGTTTTCTGCAACCCCAGCCTAGATGTGGCTTTTTGAACACAGGATTTCAGCATGGATGCTAGGGTTAAGGCAACAGTTTGGAAGAGAGGTTAAGTTTCCATGTGGCTTCTCTTAGAGTGTTATGAATGAATATGAGAAGGTGAGTTGTTCCCCCAGACTACAATATCTTCCTTCTTGGTAGACAAGCAAGAGGTTCCTCCAAAGTAGCTGGGAGGAAAAAATAGGGTGTTTAGGATAGGGTTGATTCTGGGAGGAATTTGTTGAGACTTCAGGGAACAGCAGATTAAAAGAACACTTTGAGGATCTGTGCCTGGAAATGTGCTCTAGAGACCTTCCCACTGGACTGATCTATGTCCTGTGACCCTAAGTGGGGCCTACATCCTGTAGAACCTAAATGCCTCAAGGAAGGGACATGAGATGCTGTGGGATGCATGAAGCTCAGTCATGTCTCAGAACAAGGTCTAGTTCCTCAGCCTGTATGTGCCAGCAGACAGCACAGGACGCTGGTTCCCAGCTGGGGCAACATTGCCCACCAGGAGTCATTATGGCAACGTCTGGAGACATTTTTAGTTGTCATGACTGTGGAGGGGGCTGCTACTGGCATCTACTACGCAGAGGCCAGGAATGTTGCTCAACATCCTTCAGTGTCCAGGATGGACTCCTCCACACACACAGGCAGCAGAGAATCGTTATCCAGCCCTAAATGTCAATAGTGCTAAAGTTGAAAAAACCCTTGTCTAGGATACAATGCTGGTCACCATTTCAAAACACTAGCAGCTGGAAAATATGACATATCCTAAGGTAAGCTCATTTTTTACAATAACAAAGGCATATTTTATTAGTGATAGATATATATTATAGCTATATTAACACTACATATATGTATATATATATGTATATATACATGTATATATATATATAGTGACATTTCCATTTATTCTCTGCCATACAATATAAAATATTCACATATCAGAATATACTAAGAAAAGCAACTTTCACCATTTCTCAAAATAGATCCCTCAGGTCTTTTCAAGTCAACCCTTCCCTCAAGGGTAAGTCACTATGTTACTACAAGCAAATAGACAATCCACCATCTATCTATCATTGGAATGTAACATATTTGTCATGATCATCTTGTCCCAGGGTGAAGTGATCAAGTAACCATAGCATCTCCCCTGGAGAGTCCAAGTCATGCTTCAGAGGTGGATATTTTTTGGATGTTTAACAATTAGATTTTGTTTTGCTCCTTCTTAGCTGCAGGATCGTTGGCAAAGTCACTTCTCTTAAAGACTCCTTTTCACTATTTTTAAAATCTGGCTGTTGGTGGTGCCTTCCAAAAGATGGGAGAAGCTCAGGACTTTAGGCATTTGGTGTACTGGAAGGCAAGAGTATATGTATTATAATGAAAATGTGGTAAGTATTAGAGAATTTGATTTGGAATATTTGACTTCCCATCCCATCCTACAGCTAAATATCTATCATCTATCCAGTATCTGTATCTAGATATATAGATAGGTAGAGGTATAGGTATAGGACTTTCTTTCCCTACAGATGATGAGCAGCTCCTGGGAAAATTCCTTGGCATGCTGGCATAAAGAAAATCCCCAGTGTAAGAGTATGTGGTCTTCCTGATCAAGACCAAGTGGATATACTTAGTCCCTGAATTCCAGAGAGGATACATGGGTCCATAACAAGCAAGGACACATGGCTTTTGACTAAACGGTCCAATGAAGACAAATCTCTGCCTGTATGGCACCCTCTTATAGTCTGTCCCAGGCCCTTCCACTTGGATGTGGGTTCTGGTTTAAAGAAGGATTTGAGCCCCATTAGACATCGGTTGAGGAAAACACTCACTTCTCATAGGAAACATAAGCAGGAAGATTGGTCTCCTCTCAGGCCCAACCCAAAAGCTATGCAGAACTAAGTTCTTGGGAAGGAACCATTACCTGTGGGGCAATAGATGGAGAAATTCTCTGACTAGAGACTCTGACCTCATACTTCCTGCTGATCTAACTGTCTTACGAGGATCTGTCATTCTGCAAATGTGCACCAACAAGAGACTAACTGGGCTGAGGCCATATAAGAATCATGGACCCCAGAGACACCATCCTTCTCTGTCTCGGTGAGTTCTTAAATGCAAGTGGGTAAGGGGGGGAAGGTGGCGGAGCCCCAAAACAGTCGGTGTCCCTCTTACTATGAGGAATCAGGAGATTCTGACCTCCATATTGGAGAGTTGGCCTTTGCCCAGATATCTATAACTGTGTCTTCCCAAATCCAAGTAGTCTGTGGGACATGTTCAACCCATGTCATGCTGTGTAGAGATCCATGATGGGTCCAGAGTTCCTATAGATGAGAGCCTTAGGGCCTGAAATCTAGAAGATAAAACTAAAAGATGAGCCTCAAAGCTATGCTTGCTGTGGAAGAAAAAAGGACACCCTTCATGTCATTAGGCAGGGTGACTTGAAACAAACACTGGAAACTGGAAGACTCATCTCTCATGAATCTCTCTTCCAGTGTTCTGTCTGAGCCAGAAGATTCAGGCACAGGAAGGTAAGTGTTCCGCTAACTCTCTCCCAGCCACCTTATACCTTGGTACAGAAGGGTTGGAAGAACAGTCAAAAGCCCAAGCAAATTCCAATTTTATTCCCCATTCCAGCCATCTCTGCTGTGTTCTTCTCTCCAAAACCCTCAAACACATTGTACTCAGACCTGGATTTAGTGTTTTCTTCCATTAGGCTGTCTGCCCTGATATCAAAGACACATATTTTACTGAATGTTCACAACTGCAGGGCTGAGGAAGTTGGGAGCCATTGGTGATTACCCAATATCTGTCCCTATGTCAGACCTACTTGTTTTCACAACCTAATTCTCTCCACTCTATCCACTTTGCTACATCTAATGGGATGTTGCCTTAGCCCCACCCTCTCAAGCAGTCTCTGTAATGGACACCAAGTAGCTCTCAAGTATGAGTGTATATTGTCACCTCCACTCCTGCCTTGTCCGTGTCTTCTCTCCTCCAGCTCCTTCTAAAGACTGTAGCCTGGATTACTTGTGTGTTTAAAACACAGGTATCTTTATCTCCCTCGAACCCCTCAGGGGTCAAACTTCAGATAAACATACTGATGTAACCGGTTCTCCCAAGCACTGCCTGCCCAGGTTGCATCTGCTCCCCCAACCCATCTTCCACTCTCCCACTGAACCTCTGCTCTTCACCCATGCTGAACTTACTTTAGTTTGTCCCTCACTTCTTTGTACTTCATTAACCCTTCTCCCATCATCCCTTCTATCCACAATGCTCCCAACCTGCCAGTCCACACTGCCTAGGC